AAAAGAAATATCAGTAAGAAGTATTGATGTGAGTGTGATGAAAATAAGTGTATTTTTAAATATTAATCCTGTAATATAACAGCTACCTTTTTGTATTCCGATTACGTCACTCATGTAATCCATTACTTCCCAAAATACATAAACTACATGAGGTGCCTGTTGACAATCAGCACCAAACTCCAAAGAGAAAACAGCTGATTTTAACAGACTTCACCTGTTTGTGTATCTTATAATGTTACACACTGCACACCCAGACTGCTGCACACTGACTCAGCTACTGCCTGCAGGAACACACACACACACTGTATACACATACCCGTGTGTGTACGTGAGATAAGAGGTAATTCCCCGCCTCTCTCTTTATCTGCCAGTGAAAGCACGGACGCTTATCACATTTAGTTAAATGTACACACACACACACACATCATCATCAGCACTGAAACTGTTTTTAATAAAAATAAGAAACAGGTCTTTTAGGTGTGTGTGTGTGATAGGTCCAATAGCAGTCGGTCCATTCCCCTGCCCCAGTGCCTTCTGGGTATTAGTGTAACATCATGAGGTTCACTGTCACGGCAACAAGGTCTCCCATCCTCCCTTGGCGACGGGTGCCATGACGAAGCTTTGATGAAACTTTACTGAAATATTTTTTCCTTCTGTCCTTCCTTTATTCTCTCTCTCTTTCATGATGCCTAAATCTTCCTTCCTTCCTTCCTTCTCTCCATTTGTTTTCTTCCTTTACATTGTTCCTCCTCCCTTTTCTTTCCTTCCCTCCTTTATTTTATCCTCCTGCACATGTATCTTGGTCCTTCTCTTCCTTTGATCCTTTCCTTTCTTATTCGTCGTCCCTTCTTTTCTTCATTTCACCCACATGTTCTTCCATTCTTCCTTCATCACCTGCACTTCCCTCCTTCCCTCCCACTAACGTCCTTCCTGTCCCGTCTTCCTTTTATGCGAGCATCCTTCCACACCGCTTTCACTTCCTCCTTTGTGTCCTTTTCTTTCTCTTGTTCTTCCTTTATTCACTTCCTTCCTTCATTCTTTATTTATTTCCCCACTTTCTTTCTGCCCTTCCTTCTCTTTGTATCCTCCCTGTCCTTCATTCCTCCTTCCCCTCTGTTTCTTATGAGGTGTGACACTTGACATCTCATAACAAAAACACAATCATACAACCCCGCCACCCCCCCATCCACCCCCCGTATGAATGCATGCAAGCATAAATGCCTGCACACACACACACAC